CAGACAATGGACTAATGGATAAGTCAACAGAAACCCCGGAAAAGAGATTGATTAACTCAACTCATGGTATTTGTGTAGCTCCTTTGTGTCAGGGTCTCCCTGTTTACAGAGATCCAAATGCCACCGATAGAGATCCAAATGCCACCGATAGCCCCCTTTTCATGTCTCTACACATCCTCAATCCAAGGACAGGAAAGCCTTTGTTTGTCAAACATTTGGAGACATTTTTCCTTTGTTTCACTGAGCACATGGCATCCTTTGTCTGCAGATTCCTTTCCCAGATTCCTTTGTGCTCCCTCATCCCACCCCCATTTCTCCTGATTGGCTGTCGCCACCATGTGGCAGAGGTCTCCCCATTGGATCCTACAGACCACTGGAGCTTCCTGATTGGTACAGAGGCGCCAGGGGCGGGAGGGCTGCTTCCCAGGTGTCCGCCCATCACCCAATCACAGCGGGGAACATCAGAGGAGCCGGGGCAGAAGGGTTGAACTCTGGGTTTTCAAAAATTGTATAAATATGCCTGAAAATCACTGTACTGTATGCTTATGGTGGAACTATCCCTGTAATGCATCTGATCTCAGCTGAATCACAATAAAACGCTTTGGTCACTGGATACCTCTTCAGCCTATGGTGAGATTAATTCTTAATATTCCGCATCCTTGGATTGGCGTTCGCTGGCTGCTCACCAAGGTCAAAGACCCCCTTGGCGGTCTTCTGGGGCCTTCCTCGCTGGGAAAGCCCCCCAAAAAGAGCTCGATATCAAGGTGGATCTGTAATTGGTTAAATGGACGAACCCAGAGGGTGCTCACCAATGCTTCCTCTTCATCTTGGAAAGAAGTGACGAGTGGAGTGCCGCAGGGTTCCTCCTGGGCCCGATCCTGTTCAACATCTTTATTAATGACTTAGATGAAGGGTTAGAAGGCAGGATCATCAAGTTTGCAGATGACACCAAATTGGGAGGGATAGCCAATACTCCAGAGGACAGGAGCAGATTCAAAATGATCTTGACAGATTAGAGAGATGGGCCAAAATTAACAAAATGAAGTTCAACAGTGACAAATGCAAGATACTCCACTTTGGCAGAAAAAACAAAATGCAAAGATACAGAATGGGGGACATGCCTGGCTCGAGAGCAGTACGTGTGAAAAAGATCTTGGAGTCCTCGTGGACAACAAGTTAAACATGAGCCAACAATGTGATGTGGTGGCAAAAAAAGCCAATGGGATTTTGGCCTGCATCAATAAGAGCATAGTGTCTAGATCTAGGGAAGTAATGCTACCCCTCTATTCTGCTTTGGTTAGACCACACCTGGAATATTGTGTCCAATTCTGGGCACCACAATTCAAGAGAGATATTGACAAGCTGGAATGTGTCCAGAGGAGGGCGACTAAAATGATCAAGGGTCTGGAGAACAAGCCCTATGAGGAGCGGCTTAAGGAGCTGGGCATGTTTAGCCTGAAGAAGAGAAGGCTGAGAGGAGATGGATAGCCATGTATAAATATGTGAGAGGAAGCCACAGGGAGGAGGGAGCAAGCTTGTTTTCTGCTTCCTTGGAGACTAGGACGCGGAACAATGGCTTCAAACTACAAGAGAGGAGATTCCATCTGAACATGAGGAAGAACTTCCTGACTGTGAGATCCGTTCAGCAGTGGAACTCTCTGCCCCGGAGTGTGGTGGAGGCTCCTTCTTTGGAAGCTTTTAAACAGAGGCTGGATGGCCATCTGTCAGGGGTGATTTGAATGCAATATTCCTGCTTCTTGGCAGGGGTTGGACTGGATGGCCCATGAGGTCTCTTCCAACTCTTTGATTCTATGATTCTAAGGCCTTTTCTGCTCTCTGTATTTATATATTCTCCTCCCCTTTCCCTTGCTCTTACCATCAGCCTGCGCAGCATTATTTTGCTGGGAACTGATTCCTCTCTTAATTGGAAACATATTTTTCTCTTGTCGGGAAGAAATCAAGTTATGTGATCGGAATTGCAATTGCTGGTCTCTGCTTCTTTTTCTGTCTTCCTCTGAAATCCACCCTTTGCTGTCTCTTTGAAGTTGGTAGGATGCTGGTTGGAGACATCTCAGGAGGACAACTCACCTTCCATGTATGGTTCATGAAATTGGAAGAGACAATAAGTAACGTGTAAGACTGGATCTACACTGCCATATAATCCAGATTATCCAAGCAGATAATCCACATTTTCTGCTTTGAAGTGGATTATATGACTCCACACTGCCACATAATCCAGCTCAAAGCAAATAATCTGGAATTTATATGGCTGGATTATATGTAATCCAGAATATCTAAGCAGATGATCCACATTTTCCGCTTTGAAGTGGATTATATGAGTCCACACTGCCATATAATCCAGTTCAAAGCAAATAATCTGGAATTTATATGGCTAGATCTACACTGCCATGTAATCCAGATTATCGAAGCAGATGATCCACATATTCCGCTTTGAACTGGATTATATGAGTCTGCACTGTTATATAATCCAGTTCAAAGCAGACAATCTGGCTTTTATGTAGCAGTGTAGAAGGGAGCCTATGGATGGCTCTGCACTGCTATATAATCCATATTATCTGCTTTAAACTGGATTTTATGGCAGTGTGGACTCATATAATCCAGTTCAAAGCAGAAAATGGTGGATTATCTGCTTTGATAATCTGCTTTGCTGCCCTGAGTCGCCTTCGGGCTGATATGGGCGGAATAGAAATAGTGTATAATCTGCATTATATGGCAGTGTGGATCTAACCACAGGCCTCTTCTACACTGCCATATAAAATCCGGATTATCTACTTTGAACTGGATTATATGGGAGTGTGGACTCATATAATCCAGTTCAAAGCAGAAAATAGTGGATCATCTGCTTTGATAATCTGGGTTATATGACAGTGTGGATCTAACCATAGGCCCCTTCTACACTGCTATATAAAATCCGGATTATCTACTTTGAACTGGATTATATGGCAGTGTGGACTCATTTAATCCAGTTCAAAGTAGAAAATAGGGGATCATCTGCTTTGATAATCTGGATTATATGGCAGCGTGGATCTAGCCATAGGCCTCTTCGTCACTGCCATATAAAATCCGGATTATCTACTTTGAACTGGATTATATGGCAGTGTGGACACAAATAATCCAGTTCCAAGCAAATCCAGATTATCTGATATATATAAAATCCAGATTATCTGATTTGAAATGGATTATATGGCAGTGTGTACTTATATAATCCTGTTCAAAGCAGAACATGAGAATCATCTGCTGTGATAATCTGGATTATATAGCAGTGTAAATCTAGCAATAGGCCATTTCTACATTGATATATAAAATCCATATTATCTGCTTTAAACTGGATTATATGCCAGTGTGGACTCATATAATCCAGTTCAAAGCAAGAAATCTGGATCATCTGCTTTGATAATCTGGATTATATGTCAGTGTAGATCTAACCATCAAGCCATTCTGCACTGCCATATAAAATCCAGTTTATCTTATTTGAACTGGATTATATGGCAGTGTAGATTCATATTATCCATATTATCTGACATATAATCCACATTTTCTGCTTTGAACTGGATTATATGAGTCTACATTGCCATAAAATCCAGTTCAAAGCAGATAGTCTGGATGTTATGTGGTAGTGTAGAAGAGGCCTAGGGCTGGATCTGCACTGCTATATAATCCAGATTGTATTGTCGAAGACTTTCATGGCCGGAATCACTGGGTTGTTGTAGGTTTTTTTGGGCTATATGGCCATGGTCTAGAGGCATTTTCTCCTGACGTTTCGCCTGCATCTATGGCAAGCATCCTCAGAGGTAGTGAGGTCTGTTGGAATTAGGCAAAAGGGTTTATATATCTGTGGACAATTTCAACAGAAAGGAGGAAACCATGAAAATCAACAAAATCTGGCTACCAGTATTAAAAAAACTCTAAAATTGCAACAGCACAACAACAGAGAGGAAGCAGGCAGGGACATCTAATTACCTCTCAACAAAAGTTTGCCCCAGGCACAGGTAGCCCATTGTATGCTAATCAAGGTGGTCAGTTGAAACATTCACACCTAGCTCCAGCAGACAAGAGTCCTTTGCCCCACCCTGGTCATTCCACAGATATATAAACCCTTTTGCCTAGTTCCAACAGACCTCACAACCTCTGAAGATGCTTGCAATAGATGCAGGCGAAACGTCAGGAGAGAATGCCTCTAGACCATGGCCATATAGCCCAAAAAAACCAACAACAACCTGGCCTAGGGATTGATCTGCAGTGCTATATAAGACAGATTATCTACTTTGAACTGGATTATATAATTCAAAGCAGAAAATGTGAGTCATCTGCTTTGATAATCTGGATTATACGGCAGTGTAGAACCAGCCTTAGATGTTACTTGTTGTCTCTTCCAATTCTATGAACCATTCATGGAAGGAGAGTTGCCTTACGAGATGCCTCCATCTGTTGTTTGAATAGGGCAACACTGCTGTTTCTCGGCCTATTCCTATTCCTTATCCATTTAATCACAGTGTTCAGGGCTGACTCAATAACTACATTCATCACTTGACATTGGTTCGTGAAAACTAAAAAGTTTTAATGCAATGTCGGCTAGTGTGTAAGCAATGTATGCCTGTATGATGAGGTTGGAGTAGGTGGTCCTTGTGGCCTCTTCTAGCTCTAGGAATAGTTCAGATTTTCCGAATGAAGCAGAGAGTGTTTGAGGACCGGGACATCCGTAGGGATACCAAGGTGCTTGTTTACAAAGCTATTGTCCTCCCAAACTTGTTATACGCCTGCGAAACGTGGACAGTCTACAGACGTCACATGCAACTCCTAGAACGATTCCATCAGTGCTGCCTCCGGAAAATCCTGCAAATCTCTTGGGAAGACAAGCGGACAAATGTCAGCGTGCTGGAAGAAGCAAAGAACACCAGCATTGAAGCGATTGTCCTCCGCCATCAACTCCGCTGGACCGGCCACGTTGTCCGGATGCCCGGTGACCGTCTCCCAAAGCAGTTGCTCTACTCCAAACTCAAGAACGGAAAATGGAAAAGATGGGCTCAAAGCCAACCTGAAAAACTTTGGCATAGACACTGAGAATTGGGAAGCCCTGGCCCTTGAGTGCTCCAGCTGGAGGTCAGCTGTGACCAGCAGTGCTGTAGAATTTGAACAAATAAATTGTTATTTGGGCTTGGCCTCATGTAAGCTGCTCCGAGTCCCCATCAGGGAGATGGTGGCGGGGTATTGTTGGGGTTCAGCCTGATCCTGATCTGTGTGAACCGGATTCTCTGATAGTTTTTCCAACTGAGCAAGCTCTCCCTGACCCTGACAGTGTGGAATCTGTTGTTGATGCAGAGGTCAGCGGGGATGAAAACGAAACTCAACAGCTGGAGGAAAATGTTTTAGAAGTTAGCCGTGATATCTCTCCACCTGGGGTTTTTAATGAGGACCGAAGAGAACAGATAGTTAGAGACAGAAATATTTCCCAGTTTCTACGAAGGTCACATCGTTTACAGGAGAGACAGGCCCAGGCTTCAAAGTCAAGGGGCGTTTCAAAGAATAGCTTCTTTGGTTTAAGAGGCCTCCTGCCGGGTGCCTCTTTAGATCAAGCAACGTTTGGGACTGTGGCTGTGCCTTGGCAGAATTCCTGTGTTTCATGGCCAGTAATCCCAGAGGCTTAGTTATCAAGTTCATGGTTAGTAAAAGGCTAACAGATTCCTGGTTCTTGTATTGTGGCTTTTGAAATTTTGCTCAAGTTCAGAGATTCTACTGACTGCTGTGTTTTTCTGTGGCTTTTTGACTTTGCATTTACCTTTCTTTTGTAACCAATTTTTTATCAATAAACAAGGATTGCTTTTCCTACAGTCCAGTGTGGTGGATTTAATCTTATGGTCTCATTTCTTGAACTGGGATGCAACAGGTATAAATACAGTTTATTATATTATTATTATTTGAAGAGGCACAAATGGAAGGCGAAAGAGAAAAACGTGCCAAGAGGAAGGCAACCGAGACCGCCTTCCGTCAGGAAACCAATGCCCTCACTGCGGGCAGAGGCGGCCCTAGGTAATTTTCAATGGTAAGCAAACAGTATTTTGGTGCCCCCCCCCAACCAATCACTGATATGGAGCAAGAACGAGAGGGGCTAGGGGAGGCTCAAGGGCCCGGCCCCTTCGGGAAGAGGATTGCCCGGCAGTGAGGCAAGGAAGTTGAGGCTCCCACCGGACTGCTAGGGCTGTTGTGAGCCGAGGGGGCGCTCCTCAAGTGGCAGTCGAGGGGCATTTGCAGAGGCACCTCTGCGCCCCTGGCAAAAAAAAAAGTGTACCGCGACCGCTTACTTTGCATAATGGACGAGCCGCCCCTGACTGCGGGAGAAGATGCATATTAAGAATAGGGCTCCACAATTACCTACAGACCCACCAGAACACTGATCTTGGAAGACTATCCTACTCGGACAATGAGCCTAAGGCAAGGATTCGGTGTCTGTTGTGTTGGGTGTGGAACATAACTGTTTGTATGTCAATCTCATGCAGGATAACCAAGGGTAGTCTCTTTAGTTTTCATTTTCCATCGGAAAGCCTTCTTGACTTGCTTCCTTTGTGTGCAAGAGAGCCGCGAATTGTGGAGTAGATTCCACATCAGCCAGATTTCCGCCACCTTCAGGCTATGGACCACCATGAGGTCTTTGTAAAAGCAAGGATCAAAAGTCTGCAGGTTAGGCGCAGCGGAGGGCTTGGTAATCCCAAAGGTCTTGAACCCTTCATGCATGACAGGCTTCAGGTTGATTCTTTGGAGGCACATGCCCAAGAAGACGTCGTCAATGGGGAAGAGTTCCACCTGGCTGCAGGCCTGGGAGAGCTTCCTCATGGTACTGCTGGAGAGCAAGAACCCTCCGCCTCCAGCATAGACCGGATACATGCCCAACCCGTACATTGTCTCTGGGATGAAGTATTTGCTCTTGTGCGTCCGGATCGGTTGTGCGTTGTAGATGATGTCCCCCACGAAGAGGTCCTCGGCGGGATCGCGGCTCTCGAGGAAGTTCACAATGTTCTCCACGTTGACAAAGACATCAGCGTCGCCCTTGAAGATGAACTTGGTGTTGGAACAAAACTCGTCCGCCCAGTTGAGGAAATGGATCTCTTTCAGAGTCAAGTTGAAGAAGGTGTCGAGGAAGTCCCACAAGAGGATGTCCCGATACATCTGGCTCTCCTGTTGGACGAGAGTCTCCCAAGTCGGCAAAGTCGTCTTATTCTTCGGGACAGCCAGGAGGAAAACCCTTTGAACCTGAGCTCCGTTCACCAACCCTTCCCTTCCCCAGGTTTTCCGGACAATCTCCCGGCGGTCAAAGTCCTCCACCAGGGATTTGACCGCAATGAGCAAGAAAGGACCGCCTGGGTTCCTTTTGCACTTCTTGGGTTGGTTAATGAGAATATCAAACTTCCTGTTGTCTTTGTCCCGAAGGTATTGCCTGAAATCAAAGGCGGAAGGTGTTGAAGGTGGAGGGCTGGTGCCCACGTGGCTTTGACTTGCCACCTTCAGATGCTTCATGGCTGAAATCATTCTGGGCCCGGATGCTGTCGGCCTGGCATCCAGCTTCCTTTGGAGGGCATGGAAGGCCCTACGTGTTGATGGCGAAGGCCTCTTTGGGACCTTCACTTGTTCTTCTCGAAGGGAAGTGTGACCCAGCTGGGAATAGAGGATGGTGAAGAGCGCTACCACCAGGAAGAGTGTACAGATGGCATCACCCTTCAGTTGAACTCTCATTGTTTTCACAAATTTCCAAAGGACGTTCGATGTTGTTTTAGGCGAATGGTCTGCTGGCCCTTTCCATCTGCAAATAAAGAAGAGAGAGGTCAGAGCACTTTATGGCACCACTTGCGGTAAATCAGAGCAACTTTTCATAGACTTGTCAGTAGCTTATGACACTGTAAATCAGTGTTTCTCAACCTTCGTAATGCCGCGACCCCTTAATACAGTGCCTCACGTTGTGGTGACCCCCAACCATAAAATTATTATTATTGCTACTTCCTAATTGTAATTGTGTTACTGTTATGAATCATAATGTAAAAATCTGAAATGCAGGATGTATTTTCATTCACTGGACCAAATTTGGCACAAATACCCAACAACAGTGCTCCATGCCGTCATGTCAGCCACATGACCTTGGAGGTGTCTATGGACAACACCGGCTCTTTGGCCTAGAAATTGAGCACCAACTCCCAGAGTTGGACACGACTGGACTTAATGTCAGGGGAAAACTTTTACCTTACGTTACCCAATATGCCCAAATTTGAATACTGGTGGGGTTGGAGGGAAAATTGATTATGTCATTTGGGAGTTGTAGTTGCTGGGATTTATAGTTCACCTACAATCAAAGAGCATTCTGAACTCCACCAATGATGGAATTGAACCAAACTTGGCACACAGAACTCCCACAACTAACAGAAAATACTGGAAGGGTTTGGTGGCATTGACCTTGAGTTTGGGAGTTGTAGTTCACCTGCATCCAGAGAGCATTGCAGACTCAAACAATGATGGATCTGGACCACAGATACTCAATATACCCCAATGTGAACACTGGTGGAGTTTGGGGAAAATAGACCTCGACATTTGGGAGATGCAGTTGCTGGGATTTATAGTTCACCTGCAACGAAGAGCCCCCGCCTGCTCCGCACCCCTGCCTGCCGGCGGGAGAGCAAAAGCAGGCGAGGGGTGCCCAAGGAGCCACTCGCCCATCCCTCACCTCCTTCTGCCATCAGAAGGAGATGAGGGACAGGCGGATGGCTTCGTGCGCGGGAGTGCCAGTGGCTCAGGGGGTCGGCCGCCATTTTGGAGGGGGCGTGGCCAGCCAATGCGGCTTCGCGACCCCCAGAAAATGGCCAAACGACCCCCCGAGGGGTCGCGACCCCCAGGTTGAGAACCGCTGCTGTAAATCATTGCCTTCTCCTGAGGGAAAAAAAAATATAGTATCACAAAGGACTACCACCTCTCCCACTCCATAGGAAATCTGCTATAAAAGAAGGAGCTTGTTGGAGTTTCAAGATGGCAATGGTTTGATCAATGATACTGATGCAGAGAAGGACCAGGAGACCCCTATGCAAAGTGTAGTTTCCCATGAGAATGTCCCCGAATGTCTTCCTGTGATACGTGGACTGTCTACAGACGCCACATGCAACTCCTGGAACGATTCCATCATCGCTGCCTCCGGAAAATCCTGCAAATCTCTTGGGAAGACAGGTGGACAAAGCATACTGGAAGAAACAAAGACCACCAGCATTGAAGTGATGGTCCTCCACCATCAACTCCGCTGGACGCCACGTTGTCCGGATGCCTGACCACCGTCCCCCAAAGTAGTTGCTCTACTCCGAACTCAAGAACGGAAAGGAATGTTGTGGACAGGAAAAGAGATTAAAGATGGGCTCAAAGCCAACCTAAAAAACTGCAGACACTGAGAACTGGGAAGCCCTTGTCCTTGAGCGCGCTCCAGCTGGAGGTCAGCTGTGACCAGCAGTGCTGCAGAATTTGAAGAGGCATGAATGGAGGGCGAAAGGAGAAGCGTGCCAAGAGGAAGGCACGTCAAGCCAACCCCGACCGAGACCGCCTTCCACCTGGAAACCAATGCCCTCCCTGCGGAAGAAGATGCAGAGCAAGAATAGGGCTCCACAGCCACATACGGACCCACAAGAACACTGGAAGACAATCATCCTCGGAAAACGAGGGATCACTTAAGTAAAGTAAGTAAGTAAGTAAGTCCCTGAAGGGTGTGGGGATGATAGTATACTCCCTGAATTGCTACCAGAGGGTTCCCAGGATTTGGGGCTTGAAAACAACTGGGCACCTGGCCCAGCTGCGAGACTTAATGAGCAAATAGATAGGCGAGAGGAAATTAGTCAAAACAGACAGGCCGAACAGTGCCTTCGGCGATCTGCCAGGCTCCGACAGAAAAAGATAAGGGGATCCAGCTACTGGTCAAAGGACATTTAATCAACTACCAAACTTGCAAACTGTGTGTTTGTCTGTCTGTTTGTTTGTTTGTTTGTTTGTTTTGTTAAAAATATAATACGACTGACCACAATGCAATCTGAGCCCTGCCACATGTACAACGGACCTCCTTACAGCAACACCAGAGGCACCCCAAGTGGCCAGCTTCTGGTCAAATGACATTTAGTATAATGCCAAGTTCTTAAACTTTGTGTATTTTTAAAATACTTTGCAACTGCACCCTCAGTTTGCTTCTGATATCTATCTATCTATACATATAATAAAAGTCAAAGTTTGTATGCAGAGGACAAAAGTGTGCCAGCTTTCTGATTGGCTGCCGCTGTGGTGCTATTTGCATATGGTCTCTGATTGGCCAGCTTCAATAGGAGCCCCTGGTGGAGAAAAGAGTTCATGACAGAAACGGGGACATGAGAAGGAAATTTGCATATGGTCTCTGATTGGCCAGCCTCAATTCCAAGATTCCGAGATGACAAAGAGGAAAGGACCACTATGGCCCCCAACAAAGACCAATGAAGACCAAACTTGGCACACAGAGCCCCCATGATCCACTCTACATCCTACTGCAGTTTGGAGGAGGATGAACCATGGATGATGGGACTTGCAGTACCATCACTCATATTCTGAGACCGCTATTGACCTCATCCAATGACTGATCAGGACCAAACTTGGCACATAGACCTTTCATGACCCACTTTACGCCCTGGTGTGTTTTGGCCAGGGATGGACCATGGATTATGGGACTTGCAGTACATTTGTTCAATTCCTGAGACCACTGCAACCCCCATCCAAATACCAATAAAGACCAAACTTGGCACACTGAGTCACCATGACACACTCTACATCCCGGTGCAGTTTGGAGGAGGATGCACCATGGACGATGGGACTTGCAATACCTGCACTCCCTTCCTAAGACCATTACAACTGCCAACAATGATGGATCAAGACCACAATTTACACAGAGAGCCCCGCATGTTCCACTCTACATCCTGGTGCGGTTTGGAAGAATTTGGCAATGGATGATGGAACTTGCAGTCACTTCACTCACTTCCTAAGACCACTGCAACCCTCACCAATGACTGATCAAGACCAAACTTGGCACACAGAGTCCCCATGGCCAACTCAACATTCTGGTGAGGTTTGGGGGAGAACAGACTACGGATGATGGGAGTTCAAGTACCTCCACTCTCTTCCCAAGACTGCTGCAACCCTCATCTAATGTCCGATCAAGACCAAACTTGGCACACAGAGCCCCCATGACCCACTCTACATCCCGATGCTGTTTGGAGGAGGACGGACGATGGATGATGGGACTTCCAGTACCTTCACTCACTTCCTGAAACCACAGCGACACTTATCCAAATACCAAGAAAGACCAAACTTGGCACAGAGAGCCCCCTTGACCAACTCAACATTCTGGTGAGGTTTGGGGGAGAACAGCCTATGGATGATGGGACTTGCAGTACCTAAACTCACTTTCTGAGACCTTTGACCCTCATCCAATGATTGATCAAGAATAAAACTTGGCACACAGAGCCCCCACGACCCACTCTCCATTCTGGTGCAATTTGGAGGAGGATGGACCACAGATGATGGAATTCGCAGTACCTTCACTAACTTCCTGAGACCACTGCGAGCCATATAAATAACTGATAAAGACCAACCTTGATTCACAATTCCTTTCTCAAATAATCTGGGCAGCGCCGGGTCCCCAAGTTAGTGATAAATAAATAAGAGCAAGTTTTGAAGACCCGGAGCCATTTTTGCCTTCCCAGATCTTAGTGAGCTACACATAACCCTTATATCTTGAACTCTGAAGATGACGGAGAGTCTCCGATGAAGCGCTGCTTTTGTTCTGGGCGGATTTGGTTTTCTTTCTGACACGAGAGGGTAAGAATACAGTAATGACAACCTTGGCAGCAAATTCTGGCCCAGTTTTGCTTCATAGGCTTGGGCCTTGGCTCAACTCTGCGTCGAGATGGGAACCCGCATTTTCCATGATTGAGAGATTTCGCCTGCCAACCGCTCCGCAAAAGCCAGCGAAATCCTGGAGCCTCCAATGTTTGGGCCAGAGCCCAGAATCCCTCTCTGTGGGAGAGAAGGCCCTTGAATATTGTGCAAGAGATTTTTTAAAAGTTCAGAAATATTCTAACTGGAAAAAAAAATCACATTTTGATTTTATTATGTCGTTTTATATTGCTTTATATATTTTGTTATGATGTATTTTCCTGTTATTTTGTGTCTAATTATGTTGTATTATTTTGGGCTTGGCCTCATGTTAACCGCCCCGAGTCCCCTTTGGGGGTTGGAGACGGGTTATAAATAAAGATTACTTACTTACTTACTTACTTACTTACTTCTTACTTACTTAGGTGATCCCTCGTTGTCCAAGTAGGATAATCTTCCAGGGTGTGTCCGTAGGTGACTGTGATCTGCATCGGTGAGGGCATCGGTTTCCAGGTGGAAGGCGGTCCCGGTCAGGGTTTCGCTTGACACGCCTTCCTCTTGGCACGTTTCTCTCTTTTTCCCTCCATTCGTTCCTCTTCAAATTCTGCAGCACTGCTGGTCACAGCTGACCTCCAGCTGGAGCACTCACAGGCCAGGGATTCCCAGTTCTCAGTGTCGATGCCAGACTTCGTAAAGTTGGCTTTGAGCCCATCTTTCAATCTCTTTTCCTGTCCACCAACATTCCGTTTTCCGTTCTTGAGTTCGGAGGAGAGCAACTGCTTTGGGAGACGGTGGTCAGGCATCCGGACAATGTGGCCAGTCCAGCAGAGTTGATGGCGGAGGACCATCGCTTCAATGCTGGCGGTCTTTGCTTCTTCCAGCACGCTGACATTTGTCCGCTTGTCTTCCCAATAGTATCGTGTTATACATCTACTCGCCAAAGGCGCAGCGGAAGAGCCAGGTTTTAAGGTCCTTTTTGAACATTTCTAGTGAGGGGACTTTCCTGATCTCTCCAGGTAATGAGTTCCAGAGTCGGGGGGCCACAGAGGAGAAGGCTCTCTCCCTTGTGCCCACAAGACGAGCTTGTGAGATTGGTAGGGGCGAAAGAGGGCCTCCTCCGAAGGCTGGTGCATGGAGAGAGATATGGTCACGAAGGTAGGTGCGTCCCAAACCGTTTAGGGATTTGTAGGTGATAACCTGTACCTTGAATTGGGACCGGAAAATAAACAACAGCCAGTGGAGCTCCTTAAATATGGGAGTCATCCATTCCCTATAACTAGCCCCAGTTATTAATCTGGCTGCGAACGTTGGACAAGTTGTAGTTTCCGGGCCGTCTTCAAGGGTAGCCCCATGTAGAGTGCATTACAGTAATCCAGTCTAGAGGTAACTAAGGCATAGAGCACCATGGTCAAGTCAGAATTCACGAGGTATGGTCGCAAGTGGCACAGTACAGGAAATGGGTCAGGGGAAATTTTTCGTATGTACAGTAGTCCCTCATATATGTGTGATTTCCTATCCGGTAATGATGAGAGTGATGTGTTCAACATTTTTATATATGTGCTGCTTTAATTGCAATCCAGCCTTTCATCCTAGGCACCCAGCTTCAGGCCTGGTGTGGATGGACCTCTTATCATTTGTCGTTCCATCTCAAGCAGATGTTGCCAATGAGGTCCCCAACTCTCCAAGCCTTATTCGGAGAACTTGCAAGGACAATTCCCTGCTCAGTGTCTGCTTACAGGTAACGAACTGGACAATCTATTTCCCTCATTCAGAGAGGACGAAAATTTGGATATGGCACTATGAAATGCTACCTCTTGACCGGACAGCAAATCCAAGGAAAGAGCAAGTTTTATGGCTATTCTGTGCTAAGAGTGAACTTGGA